ATTTTTTTTTTTTATTTTTTTTTTTTTTTTTATTTTTTATTTTTTTTTTTTTATTTTTTTTTTTTTTTTTATTTTTATTTTTTTTTTTTTTTATTTTTTTTTTTTTTTTTTTTTTTTTTTATTTTTTTTTTTTTTTTTTTTTTTTTTATTTTTTTTTTTTTTTTTTTATTTTTTTTTTTTTTTTTTTTTATTTATTTTATTTTTTTTTTTATTTTTTTTATTTTTTTTTTTATTTTTTTTTTTTTTTTTATTTATTTTTTTTTTTTTTTTATTTTTTTTTTTTTTTTTTTTATTTTTTTTTTTTTTTTTTTTTTTTTATTTTTTTTTTTTTTATTTTTTTTTTTTATGACCACTGTCTATTAATGTTCTTAAATATCAAAAAATGTCCATAAATGTCATCACTGTCTTTAGAGTCTTGGCCCACCTGCATTCGCGAGGAAGCAACAACATCAACAAAAAGCGGAAAAAGTGAGAAAGAAGCTCCACATTGAGAGAGGGATTTTATCTTTTACATACTGAGAGCTGATTGGCTGAATGTTACTCAGAGCTTACAGGCAACCCAGGTGTTTTGCTCATAACCTATTTTTTATACTGAACCTATATCCATAATCAGATCCTCTGCAGACGTGTCCTATTTAATCAATGATAATGGCTACTTCCGGGTTTACCGCAATCGCTTTTTTTGTGCATAACATTTTTTTTTTCATGAAATAATAATTCTGAAAACCTCTGTGCATGTGTATTAATAATGTATATGTATAATGTGTTCTCCGATTAACATTTAAATGTGTTGATTGATTGTTACGGAAACGTAGGCGTAGACCAATCAGAAAGGAAGGGGAGGGAGCTTGCGTCGTTTTTTTCAAATCATGTATTTCTCTCTCTTTTTTTCTGACAAACTCCAGACAATCACTTTAAATTTCGAAAAATGTCCATAAATGTCATCACTGTCTTTAGAATCTTGACCCAACTGCATCCGCGAGGAAACAACAACATCAATAAAAAGTGAGAAAGGGCTCCACATTGAGAGAGGGATTTTATCTTTTACATACTGAGAGCTGAGAGCTGAGAGCTGAGAGCTGATTGGCTGAATGAGGGCCAATCAAACAACACACTATTCTAAATTACTCAGTGCGTTCAGGCGACCCAGGTGCTTTTGCCCAGTGGGAAAGAGACAGATTCAACAGAGCATTATGTGAGCGGGGTAGGGACCAGTTTGTCTTGAAAATTGTAAACATATAGTGTGGATGAAGTAAGAGCCAAAAACTCCTGGTCCAATGTTGGAGCATGGCTCAAAGAGAGACAAAATCCATTCTGCAAATAAGTCATTGTGAATCAATAATGTTATTTCAAATACAGTATATCAAAATGCTTCACTTTACTCCGATTATTACTGCAACAGACAAAAGCAGTGAGTGAATTAAACTTGCTCCGTCTCTCCATGGGACAAAGAGGGGGTCCCGCTAACACGCGACAGTCTGCGACATGCTACCAGCGCTGATGCTAATGCCGCTTTTTATCTAACCATAACAGACTGACATTAATATTCTCAGTTCTTCATTAGCCTCCTCAGTGCACTCCCACATCAGAACTTTCACATGTGGTGGCCCCCCCCCCCCCCCTCCCCCCCCCCCCCCCCCCCCCCCCCCCCACACACACACACACACACACACTCCCCCCCTCCCTCACCACACTCAGCCATACCCTCCAGCTGTCCCAAAAGCTGAACAATAAAGTTTAAAGGTCCCACTGTTAAATTATGCAAAGATTCAGTCGGTTCAAACTACTCCGATATTTAATGTGTGTGTGTGTGTGTGCGTCTGTGTGTGTACTCAATTCTTATAATAGAAATGAAGAGGATAAGTTTTTTGTTTCTTGCCGAAGCTACTTTATCTGTTTCAAGCATGTTTGAGTCGACTTTATTTCAAAACCTTTGCTCTGACGATCCTCGTTTTTAGCTTCACTTTTCACTTATTTATGCACTTTGTGGGATTATTTTGATATTAATCTAAAGTAGTTGTTTATAACACATCTCTGCTTTGTGATACAGAACATGCATGTCCCTAAAGCCTTTTAATGATATCTCTGTCAGGCGCATATAAAATGAGCCACCCTATTCACCGGCTTATTTAAAAGAAGTATTATTTCTATGGTAATTTTTTAACAACAATACGAAAGCTAGAGATTTCAAACTTTTGCAGAGAGAGAGAGATTTTCTTTCAGTTATTGTTCATTTATCTTGTGCTGTCCTCATTCGTACTGTTCTGTAACTGGTGATGCAACACTGAAATGTCCCCACTGTGGGATGAGGATCTCTTAATCTTAATCTTAACAATAAAAACAATATATAATCATTTTGCCTATGAACAAAATACTCTCTGAAATACAACTTCAAAGTGCTGGACAATGTTTGGATTCCCCTGGGATAGAGCCAACAGTCTGAGTGTCTACATACGTATTAATAACAGTTGATGTCCTTTGTTCAGTTCCAATAGATTGTCCAAAAAACGAATGTCAAAATCGAATGCTCTAAGTAAATTAGATGTTTTTATGTTTGACCAAAGAAGGTTTACGAGATGTTTCCAGACTCCTCTGGACAGACTGGTCTGGTCTCTGGGCAGACACAAACTCAGACTCCGGTGAAGGTCATTTTGAGCGCGGATTATTTACGGTTTCTAATGTACACTGGCTCCAATCAAGAGCAGTTTGGTATTGCCCAAAATTATAAGATAAGATTAGATAAGAGCACCTTTATTTGTCCCACAGTGGAGAAATTTCGATGTTACAGCATGCATATAGGACAGTAGTGACAGCCCTCAAAATATACACAGAGAGGCAGCTGGGAAGGCTTCTTAACCAGCTGTAAAGGCTTCATAGCAGCAAGTAAACATCAACACAGGTTCACGGGATCATTGCAAGGACAGCTGTCAATCAAGACAGACCAGAGCTGACCGCAAAAAGCTTCCTTACACCCACACGAACCCCAGCTTGTTGGTTTTAAGCTCTTTCTTCATCCTCTGGGAACTATGCGGGATCTGGCCCGCACAGAAGTCAGAGTCTGTGTAAGTTTGGAGGCGTTTGACTCTATTCCTCCAGGGTATGAGTGTGTGAAGGGGGGGAATTATCAGATCACCATCTGCTACTAAAAAGGAGGAGGAGGAGGAAGAGGGGAATATCAGTTTGAGAGAAGAGGACAAAGTTTCAGATACTTATACCCAAAGTTCATGTGAAAGCCCTGCAGGTAATCAAATAGATATTGAATGTTTTTATAGCTGAAATAACCGAAAGTTATTAAAAACACTTGAATACACTCAGAAAGGCCCAGTGGCACCTGCGAGAGGCGACAGATCTTTCCACGTGTGAGACATGACACACATGAGCTCATTGTCAAGTAAACAATTCATCACTTCATATCAATTATAGATGTTTTGGTGTAATCTCCAGCTCAGTTTGAACATAACTGCACAAGTCTCATAAAAGTTTAAAAACAGTGTTATCTTGTCATGTGTCCAGTTTAGTATAGCACACGTTTCAAGTGTACTTCGACCTTAAATACTTGTAGACCATGGCAGTTTTACAGATGTTCTACTTTTCTTTTGACTTATAACACTCTAAAACCTCAACAATCTTTACTACACATCTCTACTACTACTACAGCTGCAGCTACTACTACTGCTGCTTCTACTGTTCCTGCTGCCACTACCACTACCACTACTGCTGCTATTCCTATTACTACAATTACTACTACTACTACTACTGCTACTGCTACAGCTACTACTACTACTACTACAATTACTACTACTACTACTACTACTACCACTACTGCTACTACTACCGCTGCCACATGTTGAACCCCTTGGCTGGCCTATCCCCTCATCCTTCGCCCACAGTTGAGCACCATTCTCCCGTCTCCATCTGCACATATGCCCCCGGGTAAACAAAGGGCTCGCTGATGAGATGCGGCGCAGATAAAGTTGCACAAAAGTGTGAGAAGTCCGCTGCGCTGCGCCAGATGCTCGTTAGACGTTATTGTGTGTGAAAGGCGACCCTACCTGCCGCTGATTGGCTGGGGGCTCCCTACACGAAGCTGCTATTGGCCAGCGGCCCGTGTCATTCACCCCCCTCGTCTCACCGGCTCAAGTTTGGGAGCAAAGTTTGTGAAGTTCTAGCGCAGAAGTTTACTTTATACGAAGAGGGGCAGAGGAAGAGGAGCAGACATGAAGCTGTGCCGCGTCTTTCTAGGTCTGTATCAAAACTTTTACGCACGGGGAGACTTTGGAATAACTTCACAGCATACACAGGTCAAACTTTGTAACAGTGAGCTTCTGTATCCAACTTTGGAATGACTGGACAGTATACAACGACACTTGTTATCACTGTTGTAGATGCTACTTTAGTGCGCTTTGGTCTGGTACAACCGTATGATTCCGTTTACGCACGGGAAAACATGGAATTACTTCACGGCCTTCGGTCAAACTTTGACTTTGTAGCTCCGACCGTGTTTTTACGCACTGTGATAACATGACTGCTGACTTTTGCGCGCGGCGAAACTTGGCTGTCTCTCACTGTGGCATTCGGGTTCCTTATTTTTACGCATTTTGGTTTGGTATGACGGCATAGTGTCCAAAGAATAACGCGCAAGGACAGGACGCATGGAGACTTGTGCACGCGCGGCTACGTAGTTGGATTAATATCATTATGATTTAACTGGAGACACTTGCATTCGTCCAATCAGAGTCTGAAAGTTTGTAAAAAGCGGGGCATCGGAGGATTTGACTACGCGACATGGTTGAACACTGTTGTTATGGTCTGATGCCAAGAGGATTATCTTGGACATAATGTGATCAACTGAGTGCGGGCAACATACTTTGAATATGATTGCGCTGTCAACTCGGGATGCACGTTGCAAGGTGTGTGTATTTTTACGGACTTTAATGGCATAGTCATAACTGAGGTTTGTTGGATCTTTCTGAATATGTTCCATAACTTTGTGGACTTATTCAGACAGCTTCTCGTTTGCGATCTGAGCTGCAGATAAAGTTTTGGCGCATTGCGTTGGGGATTACTGCAGCTTTGCCCTCGTCCACCTGCTCCAACTTTAAAACTCTGGAACTTCCGTGCACGCTCCCGCCTGTGCTGTGGACGTCTCTGCGCGCTCCCGTGTTCGTCTGTGTGTGTTCAGTCCCCTGAGGTAAAAGTGCCTCAGACAAAGCCAGGGCCTCCCGGGGGAAACACGGAGGGACAATGGCGGAGCGCGACCGCATTATGAGAAGTTTGGATGGTGTCGGCTGTTCCATCTGTCAACTGTCCCCCCCCCCCCCCCCCCCCCCCCCCCCCCTTCCATGTCCCGTCAGCTGCTGCTTCAATATTTATGTTGCTCTGCGGCACAACGGCACAATGTGTCTGAGCGAGAGGCCATCTGCGCCAGCGAGACTTTAGTCAAAAGTTTGGATGGAGTATGAACATTGGTTTTGATTGGATAGAGACCAGACCGTGTGAGATTAAGCTTGTGTTGCCATTCATAAACTATAGCATATAAGTCACAGAGACACCAACATTCCTACAGTTTGACAATCAAGTTAAGACAACATTTAAGAAAATAGGTCATCTTTTAAACAGTGAGGACATTTAAACACTATACTTGACCAATATAAGAAGCAATCAGAACAATAAATGGCTGTATTTCATCATCATCATCATCGTCAACAACATGTATTACAGACTCTGAGAACATATGAATGAAAGTGAGCAGAACTTGCATCTTCGTACTCTTTTCATCACAATTTTCATGTGTTTTAAAAGAAAGAATGAAATTATGGAACATTTCACATCTTTACTCAAGGTTCTTTTCTTTACTTCTTATTCTCTGACTGGTTTTTTCTTATCTCAACACAATACAAAACATAACAATCAGGATGTGTTAAGTTTACCTTTACAAAGACTTAAAGCTTTTCTAGATTTTAAAAATGGTTTGGATTCATTCATTTGGAGATTTTCAAATGTCCCTTTTTTTGCTTCCTCCTCATGTACATGCACAAGAAACCTGGTCCTGGTTTCTTGGTTTCTTGGTCCAGGTTTGGCTTAGTCTTGTTTGGACCTGGTGTAACTCTGGTGCCCTGTCCATGGTGCTGAACTCTTTGACAGGACAGACCACTTCTTTTCTCCCTCTGCTCTTTGCCTTTTTTCACCCCTTTTTGTTTTCACGATTGCGTCGCGTTGTTGTCGGCGACTGATTGATTTGAGCTGTGGCACAAAAGCGCGCACCAGCCTGGCGCACAGAGATAAGCGTTTTAATAGAATCTGGGAAGCTTTTTGAATATTCCCCAATGTGCACGCATGTGTGTGTCTGGATGTGTGTGTGTGTGGATGTGTGTGTGTGTGTGTGTGTGTGTGTGTGTGTGTGTGTGTGTGTGTGTGTGTGTGTGTGTGTGTGTGTGTGTGTGTGTGTGTGTGTGTGTGTGTGTGTGTGTGTGTGTGGATGATAAAGAATGGCATTTGTGCTCTCGGTCTCACTCGGCTTGTAATGAACGCTTGTCATTTCTTCTAATGGTTTCAGAACATGCAGAGCTTTAGATAAATATAAATACATCAGGACTTATGCAGCATGTTTGGCCATGATCTAAAGGCGACACTCCAAACTGTGCGTTTAACTGACATGTAACTTTACATAGTCATATATTCAATTTGTCTTGTTTTTCTATAGTTGGGATGGAAATAACATTAGTATTTAGTTAGTAAGTTAGTTTGTTAGCATAGTTTTCTTCTGTATTTCCCGAGACCTATTACAATTGAAGTTATGTTTAATGAACAAATAAGATGCATTAATTGTATATTTTTTTGCCTCTAAATAAGATCTTGTTGTATAAAGGAAGATGAAGTTTTCAAGATGTGCAAAACACTCCCATCTCGTGTTAGTAGTGGGGATTTATGTTCTGCTTTTATAATACAGATCTAACACACACAGTTGTAATGTTTGTAATTTGAGTTCGAGACATTTCCAAAACTAATTTGAAGACAAGAAAAGAACAGTCCTTCACATGACGTCACAGTTCGAGGATTCGTCATAGTGTAAGGAGTTTGAAAGTAGTGCATTAAGGCAGAAGGGCGAAGGGGACGTATTTTTGCCAGAAGTTATTAATGGAGCTAAAACCAAATCTTGGTTTGTTGAGTAGTAATGTTGTAACATAGACTAAAGGGCTCAAATCAAGGAAAAGAAAAACTACTATATATCAATAATCTACTCTGTGCAAACAAATTGTACTTATAGAATAAAGTCCATTTATGTATCCATGAGATAAATAAATGGACTTTCCACACTACTATTCCCACTGTGCCATCATTCACTCCGACGGCCTATCTGATCCACTGCACTGCATTTGTCATGCGAATATGCCTTCTTATTATTATTAGCACACATGCGTGCACACGCACAACTACCCAACATGCCTTTTACTACATCATTTCACACACAGCCGCTTGAAAGAAAAAAAACAACGTCTCGTGAATGAATTATGGGGCCCTACCACTGCCCTGTGTGCGGGGGGAAGTGTGTGCGCGGCCCTACTATTGCGCATCGCCGTGAACTTGTCAGGAATGAAATGTATAAAATATGAGGAGGTGTGGTGCGAGTGTTTCAAAGACGAGAGCGAGCCTTTATAGAATTACAAAGCCAAGAACTTCGTCTAAATGCTGCTTTTAGTTTATCAATGATCCTAGAGGCATCAATATATATATCTTTATAGCTATTTTTAAGTGTTTCTCATAGTTTCACCTGCACATTGCATAACAGGGCGGTCACAAACAAGTATTGAGGAGTTTCAATTTGTATCTAGTTTGTTTGACATACTCAAAATCTAAAGCACCTTTAGTGTCAATATGTTCTCGGTCAAATAAACATAAACGTATGTGCTCATAAAAATACCAGAAACAATGATAATAATAAAGAACATGAATACAGAATATCCAGGATTACAATAAATCTCAATTTCAACAAAATACGTCATAGAAGTTCTAATTCCAAGTAAATGTATTGTTCTTAAGTAGTCGACCAATAGGCTGCTACATCAATGATCAATTATTTGTGATGAACCGATTGTTACAGGCCTTTTAAGTCCAGTTAAAGCTCAATAACGTATAACTTTCCATCTACAAACAAATTAACTATAATAAAATCCTGGTAACTTCTTTCTTTAGCATCTTTGGCCTTCTGTCACATCTTTAGATAAGCTTATTTTCAAACAGAAAAGTGAAAAATAGAAGAGCACTCATCCGCTTAGCTCTCAGCCCAAAGCGTCAAATAGTGACTCACAGGGCTATTTCATGTTGTGGCCTGATTTGTTCGTAACATTTTACTTTTACAAAGCAGGCATCATTGATTATTCATGAGATTTTCCCCAGATTTAACATGGATCAAAGTATGATTCTATTTGTGGATCGATCGGGTACTTTCCCCATAGTGGGACAAATAAGCTTCTCTCATCGTGCGCATAGGGTCGAAGTGATAGATGTGTGTGTGCGTGCGTGTGCGGGTTTTAGATCTAAGATGGGAGGGGGTTAAAAGGAAAAGGGAGGGGAGAAAGTCCGCGTGCGCATCTGCTCATTGAGAGTGTAGTAAAAGCCTGTATGCGTGTGCGTGCGCGTATCCATCCCATCTCCTCCTCTCTCTCTCTTTTTTTTTACTACTACTTCTTCACCGCGACGTCATGCTCTAGGGGCGGGGGTGTGGGAGGGGCGAGGAGGGGGGTGTGTGCGCGTGCAAGGGGGACATGGGAAGGGGGGGCACAATGGCTCATGAGGGAAAGGTAAGTCAATATTACGCTCTTTTTTTCTCGCTGACAAAGGCAAATGAAGCCATGTTTTTGCTTACAAACAAGTAGCGCGCAGGCGAGCGGTCGTGGCTGCGCTGTTTCCTTGCGCATTTCGCTCCCCTTTGCACATACATCCAGCCACACACACACACACACACACGCACACACAGCCGCGCGCAGAGGTAGATAGCGGCTTTTTGGATCAATTTCTCTTTCCCCAAAACATTGAGATTTCCTTGAAGTGCGAAGTGCTCGTTATTGGCTCAAGAGCGGAACTCGGACGCGCAAAGGGAGGCGAAGCGAATACACCCGGCTATTGGAAGCAGGTATTTGGACTCGACATTACTTCCCAGAATAATACTATTTTTAGTAGTTGCAATAGTTGTGTGAGTTTGTATTTGCTTTTTGACCACTTCTGACTTCAATCGGCCGTCATTTACCCACGCCTTTGACACAGATATATCCAATTTATACCTATTACGTGGCTGCTTTTGCTCATATGCTGGAAATAAACAAATCACAATCCCCTTATTTTAACAGTATCACACGGCGCTACACGCATTCTAACACCTTACTGAACTTTGCTGCTGTCTTTGGCTGTTTTTGCACCGTGATTTCATGCTGAATTGTTGAAGTTTTGGCTTTGATTTTCGCCCTGATTGGAAAGAAGCTGTTTCACCCCCCCGTGCGCGTTTGCCCTTTAAATGACGCCGAGTATCTGCCCTTCTATTTACTCCGAGCGTAGATATGGCTTCCTCCTTCGCTCTCGCCTTCACCCACTCATCCTCACAACTCCAAATAGACTATTTACACTATTCAAAACGCTCAAAAACACAGTACGAAAGCGCAGTTGTCATTTTTTGCCTTTATTTACCCCACTTTGCCAGCAATCTTCTCGTGTATCCAGCTCATAGTGAGCATCTCTCGCTATAATCAAGTGCATGGACTCTTTGCAACATTTACGCATGATGGATGAATATCGTAAACATGAGTGCTATTTTCCACATCCAAACAGCGTCAAATAATCTCATTTTTAGCAAACATTGCCTTCAATCTTTGCCATAACCTTTCCAAACTTGCTTACATTTGCTGCATAGCCATATGCCAGATAATTGCTCTTTTTCGCTGCGTCTTGCCCTCCGCTGTCACCCTATACTCTTCGAGGAATAAATATGTTTTCTCTCCGCGATGCGCTTTTGCCTGCGAAGCTTTCTATCCATTCATCCATCCATCCATCTATCCAACCCCCATGGCTTAAAAACTAGCGGACAAGATTTCCTTGCGGATGGGTGGATGGATGGGCGTGATATGGGGGTGAACGCGGACAAGGGGGGGAGAAAGGGGGGAGCGGAAGAGAAAGAAAGGGAGGGGTTCGGGCCATTTGATCCGTTGCGGTAGAAAAACACGGCTGCGCTCTCTTCAAATGTCGGATGAAAAGTCAGGCGAACGGCACAGATGTGAAGTCCGATTCTCGCTGCTTCGCGACGGAT